CCATTTTCCTCCCAGGTTCACTTACCAGGTCATACCAAGCAGATGAATCCAGCAAATCACTCCCAGGTGACAGGCTTTGTCCTTCTGGGGCTCTCTCAGGTATGGGAGCTCCGGTTCCTCTTCTTCATTGTCTTCTCTGTTGTGTATCTTTTGACTGTAATGGGAAATCTCCTTATTGTGGCCATAGTGACCTCTGACTCTCGCCTCCACACAACCATGTACTTTCTCTTAGGCAATCTTTCTTTCCTAGACTTTTGCTACTCTACCATCACGGCACCTAGGATGCTGGTTGACTTGCTCTCAGGCAACCCCATCATTTCCTTTGGCAGCTGCCTGACTCAACTCTTCTTCTTCCACTTCATTGGAGGCATCAAGATCTTCCTGCTGACTGTGATGGCATGTGACCGCTATGTTGCCATCTCCCAGCCCTTGCGCTACACGTTTATTATGAACAGGACCGTCTGTGGGCTCCTCATGGTAGCCTCCTGGATGGGGGGCTTCATCCACTCCATTGTACAGATTGGACTGACTATCCAGCTGCCATTCTGTGGGCCTGACAAGCTGGATAACTTTTACTGTGATGTGCCTCAGCTGATCAAATTGGCCTGCACAGATACCTTTGTCTTAGAGCTTCTGATGGTGTCTAATAATGGCCTGGTGACTTTGATGTGTTTTCTGGTGCTCCTGGGATCCTACACGGCACTGTTATTCATGCTCCGAGGCCACTCACGGGAAGGCCGCAGCAAAGCCCTATCGACCTGTGCGTCCCATATTGCTGTAGTGACCTTAATCTTTGTGCCTTGTGTCTACATCTATGCAAGGCCATTTCGGACACTCCCTATGGACAAGGTAGTCTCTGTGCTGTACACAATGGTCACTCCCATGCTGAATCCTGCCATCTATACCCTGAGAAACAAGGAAGTGATCATGGCCATGAAAAAGCTGTGGAGGAGGCAAAAGGACCTTCTGGGTCCCCTGGAGCACTGACCCCCCGATTAGCAGAGGCAGAGCCTGAGAATCTGAGAGCTGCCCGAGAAGACCTACAAAGTAGCTAAAACTACTTGCTTCTCTATAATTCTCAACCTCAGTCAAGTTCTGGGGACCTGAACTTTTAACACAGTTAGGAAATGGAATGAGTATCCTAGAACTTCTCCCAAGTGCCTCCTAGAGAAAGAGTCTCAGGTGCCACGCAGAAATGGTGTTTGGCTCAGATGGCACTTGCTCATATGACGATGTTGGCCCTGCTGAGAAAGTTCCAACTGCATGGAGGTGGTACATCTGGTGTTTCTTTTCTGATATTTCTTCTTGGACACAAAATATATCAGAGGAACTCAAAACAATTATAAACTTCCTAGAGATAGGCAGGATCTGGAGGTTAACATAAATGTGGGATACTGAGTTCTGATTTCGGAAGGCTGATTGAATTTAATGTCAATGAAGAGAAAGGTAATTGTCTTGGGAAAATTACTTCCTGCTAGTAGTTTCTTAAGGTATTCACCATCATCATGATCTAAATAATATTTGTTAAGAGCTTACTATTTGACAGGCATTGTATCAAGTGATTTACATTTACCATTTATTTTAATTCTTTCAACATTCTTAGGAGGTAAGTATCATCTTCATTTTAAAGATGAATCTGTGGCAGCTGAGAGACACTGAATAATTTATTTATGTCTCTAGAGCTTGTTTCTGGAATCCAACCCAGGTCTGTTTAACTTTGGAACCCAAGTTCTGGATAATATCTAAAACTCTTTGTAGCTACTAAGGGTCACTATGTCTTAGTGAGTTTGTGCCAGTTAAATTGGCATCATGGGGAGAGAGAAACTATTCTAACTTGGTCTTGGTCTATTGTAGTTGGGAGAGTGAAAGAAACTGGATTTTGGAATGCGGGGACATGGAGTAAGAGATCATTTGTTGACAACTGAACCCAATGAAAAATGCAGAACTGGGTTACAAGGTGGAAGGGTAGATTATCCTCCAGTCCCTAAATAAGGAGTGGTATAAGATAATACCATAAGTACCCCTAGAAGCTCTACTGCAATTTAAGAGGGAATGGAGAAACAGTCATGGTCTTTTCTTACATTGTCTCTCTATTCTCCCCTCATATCTTAACTCCCTGATCCATATTCCTGCATCTCCTACCACCAAGTTAACCATTTGGCTTCTTACCTTTATCATGGGAACTGCACCTTTTTATCTTCACTCCCATACCTGAGAATCAATTTTAAAATAAAGCAGTGTTTTGTTTGTATATGCTGAATGTTATTTAATCAACTGGTGATACCTACCCTGGATGTGGGATGGGAATAGGATGATATTTAACAAAGGTCTTTGCAAACTTAGCATTAAATCATCACCCATCAGTTATATCTTAGTAAGTAAATTAGTATAAGCGTAGTTCCTTTTCACAATGATAGGCAGCTGAGAGCGAATGTTTAGTACACAGGGCCTAGAGCATGGGTCAAACTTGAAAGAGGAATGGCATAGGTCTAGAGAAAAGGGAGGTGGAAGGTTGGAAGAGGAGATAGGACAGCATAGAGCAAACACATAGGCTATTTAAAAAGAGTATCTTTTAGTGGAAAGATAATTTTGGAATCGGAAAAGCTCAGGTCAGAGTTCTCTTTCTATGCAGTTTGGTTTAGTAGCAAGAGTTTAATTCTCCTGCCACTATACTTTGGACCTATAGCAGGGTCAAATCTTGATTTATACAAGTCATATGCACAAATACACTGAAGAGGACATATAGGTGCAAATAAAATGCAGCTTCTTTATTTTTCAATAACCAAAATGATTTTCCTTATAAGCGTCATCTTGCTGGATCGTAGGGGAAAAGAGCTAAAATTTAGGCAGGTCTAGTACACTTACTTCTATGCATAAAAATGCACATAGTCCCCTTAAGTAGGTGGTCATTCTCTTCAGAAAATAACGCAGTCTCCCTTCGGATTCTGCTCTCCCCTCTTTCCAACTTAGTCCCTTTGCCAGCCTGGCTGTGAGATCTCTGGGGGCAGGATCAAGTCTGCTTCCAAACTACATCTTGTCCATTTTTCTCAGCCTCCCCTGCCAATTGTAAAGTCATTACTAATTCATCTAGGCCACGCTGTGGCTTCATATTTGATCCTCTAAAACCCACTTGTCTCCCTTTAACCAGTTGTCCCCACAACCGCTGATTTTTTTCAAAAATACGATTTGATCACTTCCTCGCTTAAAACCCTTCAAAGGCTTTACATTGCCTTTACAAGGCAGAAAGATCCACATAAACCTCATAGATAGAGTCCTGTCTTAACTGACCTCGGCCCATCCCTCCACTTCTAGTCCTCTTTACATTTGTTTCTCTTCGTCCCTCTTGTCTTTCTCTGGGTCCTGGCAAACACTACTCACTCTCTCTGGAATGCTCCTCCCCTATCGTTTGCCTGGATAACTGTGGCTCAGCCTGAGGCCACAGTTTAAAGCTCATCTCCTCAGAGGTGTGTTCCCTGGACTTTCATCCAAATTATTTTTCCTTATTAGCCCCTTTAACAAAACTCAACTCTTTTTTCAAAAACATTGATCACAGATTGCAATTACATACTAAGGTGTGTATTTAGGTTTTCTTGTTTGTTTATCTGTTTGGGTTTTTTTTTTTCTTTTCTTTTTTTTTTTTGCCAGCCATCGCACTATACTATAAATTCTATAAAACTGAGAACTCTGTCTGCTTTGCTTACTACCATATACTGAAGGTCTAGCTCCAAAGCCTAGATTCCAGAGCAGCAACAGAGCGGCCTCAGGTGCAGAATCGAGGGGGCATTCACTCCCAGGTTTGTGCATGGCCTGACCCTGAACTTGCGTGACCAGTGGGGTATGTGTCTCTTTAAAATTTGTGCCTAAACGTCTTTCTTGGCCCAATATGTCACCCTAGTCTCATCCCTGCCTAGCTCAGTGCCTTACATATACTAGGTATTTAATAATATTTATTTTTTTAAAAATATTTTATTTATTTATTAGAGAGAGAGAGATCCCACGAGAGAAAGCACAACCGGGATGAGGGGAGAAGGAGAAGCAGACTCCCCACTGAGCAGGGAGCCCCATGCAGGGCTCGATCCCAGGACCCCGGGATCATGACCTGAGCCAAAGGCACACGCTTAACGACTGAGCCACCCAGGCGCCCCTAATAATATTTCTTAAAAGAATAATGGAATGATTGTCCTTGTATTTAGACTTGGGAATTTGGGATATCCAAATGTTTTGTTGGTCACAGCATTCTTCCTTTACGTGATTCCTATAGGAGCTGCTAGTCACATAAAGAGCAATAGCAAGTGAAGGAACCATTTATTACCATAGCCAAAATGTAATTTTCTGTATACAGGTTCTGTTTAATCTTGTTTGTAATACTCAGTCTAGGTGGAAGGCCTCTTACTCCCCTCTAAGCTCCTGATCTGAATCTCCATGTTTCAGCATCCCCCGATTGGCTTCATCATACAGGATCCTGAAGCAGGAATAAGTGTGCTTGAACACACACGTAAGGAAGAAGAGGAGCGGTCTCCCTGCATGAGGGCCACATGCTTACCTGCCCCAGAGGAAATGTGTCCTAACCAGAATTCTGAAACTTGGCCAATTGGATCAGCCTTCTCTGGGGGAAGGCATCAGGAAGATAGGAGGGAGGAAGATGAAGGCTTACTCCCTATTTTATATTGTATATTTATGGAAACTTTTTGTTTTTTAAGATTTTATTTATTTTAGAGAGAGAGAGAGTGTGTGCACATATGCAGGAGGGACAGAGGAGGGAGAGAGAATCCTAAGTGGACTCTGTGTAGAGCCTGACTCGGGGCTTGATCCTACCGCCCGGAGATCATGACCTGAGCCGAAACCAAGAGTCAGATGTGTAACTGAGCCACTGAGGTGTCCCATATGGAGACTATTTTTTAATTGTCTGAGAAAAGTGTAGGGTGTTGCTTGAGTGATTTAAACTTCAAATACATTTTTAAAAAATTGCATACATTAATCTCCTCATCTAATATTTCCTTTTACTTGTGACCTTTGTAGTCTTTCACAGCCATGGTTCTGTGCCACCTCAGGGCATGTCTCAGAGCCTGCTTCACCTTCTCATTGCGGAGACTGAAGATGAATGGGTTCAGGAGGGGTGTGATGATACAGCTCAGGACTGAGGCATCTTTGTTGAGCAGCGTGGACTGAGCATCTGACATAGGGATGTAGAGAAAAATGGAAGGGAGGTTCTGCTCATCATCTACGGCATCATCTGCCGTAGACCATGATGACCACAGAAAGATGTGAAGCACAAGTGGAGAATGTCTTCTTTTGTTCAGCAGCTGTGGGGGCCCTGGAAACAGTGGCAAGAATGCAGGCATAGGAAACTGAGGTCAGTGCCAGTGAGCCCAGTAACATGGACGTGGAGAGCACAAAAGCCACCAGCTCTAGGAGGTGGGTGTCTCCACAAGAGAGCCTCAGCAAAGGCCAGCTGTCACAGAAAAAGTCAATACCACTGGGGCCACAGAAAGGTAGGCTGGCCATGACGATGGTGGGGCAAAGGACCCAGAGGAATCCAGCTAGCCAGGAGGCCAGAACGAGTTGGGAACAGACACGACCACTCATTAGAGTCTCATAGTGGAGCAGTCGGCAGATTGCCAGGTAACGATCCAGAGACATGACAGCAAGGAGGAAGTAGAGGTAGGACTGGAGGATGCAGCTGGCAAACGAGATGGAGTGATCCCCTGTGAGAATGATGACGAGCATCTTGGGAACCACAACAGACACGAGCAACATCTCCAGGAAGGACAGGTGCCTCAGGAAGAAGTACATCTGTGTGTGCAAGTTTTGGTTGGTCCAGCTGAGCCCAATAATGAGCAGGTTGCCCGTGGCTGTTACAACGTAGGTCACCATCAACCCCAAGAACAACAGGGACTGCAGGATGTGGCTTCTGGGGAAACCCAGAAGGACAAACCCTGCCACCCGAGTCCGGTTTTCAGGACTCATCTCCAATGACCTGGAGGAGAAATGAAACAGAACTTTGTAACTGGATCTATAGCCACAAATCATCATCAATAGATAGATAGGAGGGAGGAAAGCCACAATCAATCAATAAAATAATGAGCATCTAGCATTTCCTTACATTCTGAGACTATATTAATCTTTCTGCTTATAGGTGACTTACAGAAAGAGATGCAAATTATGATAGCAAGCTGTATACCAATAACAACATGGATGATATTGAACACTAATTATGTATTAGGAAATTTGGATGCAATATCTCCTCTCACAGTGGCTCTTAAAGTTAGATATAACTGTTCTCACCTTTTTTTTTTAAGATTTTATTTATTTATTTGATGAGAGAGAGAGAGCACAAGCACGGGGAGTGGCAGAGGGAGAGGGAGAAGCAGGCTCCCCACTGAGCAAGGAGCCCAATGTGGAACTCGATCCCAGGACCCTGGGATCATAACCTGAGCCGAAGGCAGACACTTAACCAACTGTGCCACCCAGGCATCCCCCTAATCCTATACATAAAGAAAAGATGACTGACAACTCTCAGTGTTTTGTGGTCCTTCTGTGTCCCAGCTTAACATAAAATAATAATAAAAATCAGGGCTTTCAGTATCTTTAGAGATTTTATTTTCCTTAATCAACCTCAGAGTCACAGAGGATGAAACTGTGCAGAGCCCCAGTCTTGTTTTGTTATTTTGTTGTTGTTTTTACCAAGACTTCCTTCTGTGGGTTACAGGAAATCCCTCTTCCTGGTGTAACATTGACTAGCTTCCCCTCATCCTCAGCTCTCCCAACATGTTTGTGGCATAAGATGGGGAGGGAGAGGGAGCCTTACCAAAGGAGATAAGCTGTATCAGCTCACCTCTTCAACTATTGCCTTCATTTGGAGATATGTTCATCTTGTCCTTGGAACTTTCGACATCTTGTGAAATTTACCCAGAAGTTTTGAAGGGTTGGGGTTCGGTAGACATCTTGGTTCTAGGATCCTTGTCTCACATCCAGCACCAAATACTCAGAGTTTCATAGATCTTGCCTGTCAATTTCATTGCCTGAAAATACATTCTAAGACAGAAAGAATGCAAGTTACCATCAAGTTACTTTATTTAATTGATGAGGAATGAAGTGTTCAGAACTTTGGCAAAGTTTAATCCAGCATCATCTATTACTCCAGACTTCCAGCGTTAGAGATGAGGAACACAAGTATTTTCTCAATTCTGTTGAAGAAGCCTTAAGAAAAATTATTAGCCAAAGCAGAGAATCTTGGTTCCAAGGTTGAAAGAAAGAGACACTCAGGCTAAGTTCTGGTTATGTCAATAAGGAATAAATCCTGGGATTAAGTAGCTAGCTATCTAATAACAAAGCTTTATTCCGGAGGAGGAGCAAGATGGCGGAAGAGTAGGAGACCTAAATTTTGTCTGGTCCAAGGAATTCAGCTAGATAGGTATCAAACCATTCTGAACACCTACAAATTCAACAGGAGATTGAAGAAAAGAATAGCAGCAACTCTGAACAGAAAAGCGACCACTTTCTGAAAGTCATATTCCATCCCTTTAGCATATTTACCCTTATTTTTGTACATATATAAATTTTTCTTTCTTTAAAATTTTGGGAGGCAGTTTCTTCTAACAGACCAAAATACACCCAAAATCTAGTGTGTGGCACTGATTTATTCACTAGCCTGATCATATTTGATCATATTCTTTTCTTCCTTCCTTTCTTTCTTCCTTCCTTCCTTCCTTCCTTCCTTCCTTCCTTCCTTCTTTTCTTTCTTTCTTTCTTTCTTTCTTTCTTTCTTTCTTTCTTTCT